TTTATACCAGTGATTCTCAACCTTTTTTTTGTTGCGGCAAAATTTGGCGGCACACAAAGAAAAAGTTAAAAATTATTTACTTTACAACACACTGCATAAATAGTTTATGACGAAAATATGCAAAATTTGATGGCACACAAAAGTGCATCGGCACAGTGGTTGAGAATCACTGCCTTATACTGTTAAATATGAAGTCGTGACCCAAAGCTAGTTTTGAAATAAAATAAAAACTTATTTTATTAAAAGTAATTTAATATAAAAATATACAATTGCAATAGGCTGCAGCGATAGATAATAGTAATAGAACAATCGATATCAATGGACACTTTTAGTTAAAAATATAGCAAAAGAGGGAAGATTTGTATTTTTGTATGTATCGAAACTGACACCTACTGTACAGATTTCAAAAATTCTTTCACCATAAAAACTACGTTAGCAATGAATAACATGCCATACTTATTAATATTATTATATACGAGATGTTGCCCGCAACTTCGTCCGCGTGGTATTAGAAAACATACGAACTATATAAATTACAAAAAACTACGTATCCCTCGGGAACCGGACATATCTCGGGCATGAAGCTTATGCCATGTGTACTCGGGACTTTGTTTTATATCTGTGCCAAATTTCAATAAGATATGTTGAACCGTTGCAGAATGATCGAGTAAACATTAAAAAACTAAATTAATGAATCCTACGAGAACAGTAACTATTCTCGGGATAAAAAGTAGCCTATGTGTTCTTCCAGACTATGCTAACAAACATCCATCCATCCATCCATCCATCCATCCATCCATCCATCTATCCATCCATCCATCTAAACTTTCGCATTTATAATATTAGTAAGATAAGATAAGAAGTAAGATATATATATTTGTATAATATATATGTTTTTGTTTTAATTAGTTAATTTTGTGTTACAGAATGCGATGTTAGGAGTATTCCAAAAGTTAATCGCGTCAAAGACGAATGACCACGAAGGCTTCTACTTAGTACAGACCATGTTATACAAGTTTGGAAGGTAAGAAAATTTTCACATTTGTAAAGTCTTGTCTGGCCACTGGCTGATAGAGCACAGATAGAAAATGACGTCACTGTCAGATAAGGGAACAAAATCCGATATTTTCATCACATATTTTACACGTTGGTTTTGTTACCAGACAATTTGTAATTATTATATTTAATTCGGGTAATACTAAATGTATTCAGTCTCAATTAAAGCAAAAACTATTTTAGAATCGACTATACACAAAATAACTTACGGTCGAATTCTGAAACGACAAACAAATGATAAGGCAACATCTCTTTATAACATTGAAATTTGACCGTCTGTCAGTTTCTAACCGCACTTATGCCTATTACACACGCTAGCAGTTTGACAGTTTTAGTTAGATTGTTCTACTGAACATTCTATCTAACGTGTGTTTTTAACTAATCTAATAATAAGCAAAACGGAGAATTGAACTATTCCCAGTTTTCTTAGTTTTATCTGAATGATTGGCCTTTTCAGATAAAACTGAGCGTGTGTAGCGGTCTTTATGAAGCGTGTTTAAGAATAGTTTCAATAGGCTATTGGAGTGATTCATTGACAATTTTCATTAATTATTCTTTTATTGGAGCTTCGGTGGCTCAGTGGTTTATCTACAGGTCTTGGGTTCCAATCTGCCATGTACTAATGTGATTTTCGACTCTCGTATGTCCATAATTTAACCGATTTACTTACGGTGAAGGAAAACATCGTGATGTTTGCACACATTAAGAAATTCAAAGATATGTGTGAAGTCAACCCGCAGTGCATGTGGTTGACTATGACGTAATCACTACCTTACTTAGGGTAGACTCCTAGCCCCTTAGTGGGGACGTATAGTTAGCTGGTGATGATTCTTTTATTATTTGTAATAGGGAATATGCATGTATTTTTTTTTAAACGATTCTACTTGTTATAAAATAACCAGAAAAAAATGACGCGAAAATATTTAACCATTGAGCTAAAATAATAAAATAAAAGTATGAACAACAAAGTATCTCATTGCTTCTCAAGGTCAAAAAGTCAAAAATCGATTCATTTTCTTTATTCCTGTTACAAATAAGTGGTAATTAATAATTCTATTTATTATTTTTATTATTTTAAAGTTGGTTTTGATATCGTGTTTACAGTAAAATACTTCAAGTGTGTATTTCTATATAAACTAACGTAAATGAACTGTGTATTGTCAACACAGCGACGCCATATTTGATAAGCCACTTGCTTCGACCAATAGTGTGCGTTTTAGAACTTAGCGAGGGAATTTGAAAAAAGACACTTTTAATGATTAAATTTTGCCACTAAATCACATTATATTTAAAAAAATCTCTGCAGTAATTTTCTTATAGTAATGAAGTATACTTCAAAAAAGTTTGGTACAATTTGGCGTCATATGCATTGCCTATTATTATTTGTTTTCAGTTCAGTGATGGATCAATACTGTAAGCAGATAATAACGTTGCTGTTCCAACGGCTCTCGTCATCGAAGACTACGAAGTTCGTGCGCGGTCTCATCGCCTTCCTCGGGTTCTACGCCGCGCATTTCGGCGCTGACACACTAGTGCAGCTTGTAGACTCCGTGCAGGCTAAGTAAGTGTATTTCATAATAAAAATGAATAAACACTGTAAAAAGTGTTAAAAGAACGCTAATATTATAAACTGGCTGTTCCCGTGAGGCTTCATCCGCATGCAATTATGAAAATTCTATTTTGTCAAATTATCAATAGCAAATGTCAAAAAAAAATGACATGACAAAACTTAGCAATCTTTCTTTCTTGATGTTGGCAGCAACTTATGGTCTCTTTTCCACATTAGGGATTTTATCCAAAATATTTGCTCCCTAAGTTTAATGGCGTGAAAATGCCTAAAGCATGACGTAAGTGTAGGGCCTTTTATTAAAAAAAGAATTATTAGAAAATATGGTGTAATTGCTGACATCTCCGGCAACAAAGAAGTGTGTGTTTATGCTTTATTACAATAGTATAGATGAGAAAGTTTCGATGGATGGTTTGTTAGTTTGTAGCCTACATTGCTGTACGAGTTTCGATGAAATTTGACAGAAATATATAGGATAATCTGGATAACACGTAGGCTACTTACTTTTGCCTTTTTAATACATAGACCGTAGTCTAGTAATTATAATATCTACTAGCTGTTGCTTCCGATTACGTCCGCGTAAAATTAAAAAATATTATGCTATAACTATGTTAATTACTGATGCCGTAGCTTTTTAATGGTGAAAGGATTTTATTAAATCGGCCCAGTAGTTTTTGAGTTATTTCAACACATACAAAAATACAAATCTTTCCTCTTGTTTAAGTGGATGGATGGATGTTTGTTAGAGTTTGTATTCTAAATGGCTGAACGGATCTTGATGAAATTTGGCATAGATGTAGAGTTTGGTATTGTAGAGTTTGGAAGAACACATAGGCTACTTAGTTTTTTTTTTAATTCTACGCGAACAGAGTCTCGGACGAAAGCTAGTAAGTATATATTTATATATCGATGGGTGAAAGGCTATTTGTTTTAAGCGCAAACAGGTTAAATGTTTTAATTCTTATAAAAAAAATAGCCCTAAAAGCAAATCTTGAAAATAATTTCAATTGAAAGATTTTCAGACCGATTCCAGATTAAAATTACTATAATTCTGCATACTTCATTATTAACGACGCAGAAAAATTCGCTGATTCTGAATATATAAATAAGTCAATATCGCCTAAAATGGCGGTTGAAACATTTTTGTTTTTTTTTTTCAAGGCTTGCTTTTCAGTATATTCCTATGTATATGTATATGTATATGCCTTGTATTGTCAGTATGTTCGCGATGTACACGGAGCGCGTGTTGGTGCCGGAGCTGCAGCGCGTGTCGGGCGCGCTGGAGCGCAAGGCGGCCGCAGTCGGCTGCGTCAAGCTGCTCACTGAGTCGCAGCACTTCCGC